AACTTTTTTTACTTTTTTTTTTACGTTTTTTAGGTTTAAAGTTTAACTTTAAACTTTTAAATTACGTTCTACTATAGCACGGAGTTAGTATAGAGAATACTCTCTCTCTCTCTCTCTCTCTCTCTCTCTCTCTCTCTCTCCTCTCTCTCTCTCTCGCTTGTATGCAATACTCATAAATTTTTAACTGCCATAACCGTAATTCCTAGATAAATGTGTATGGAATTGCATACAACGAGACCATTTATCTTTGATACAAGGTGGTCATAATTACTTACAACCATCCGGTATGAAATTTGATAGCTTGGATGTGTTACAAAGTTTGAAAAAATTTCTTTTGAAGTTTGAGTTGGGTCAATGAAATAATTGTAGCCGCCCAATTTTACATCCAATGGTCAAAATTAATGTGACTACCTCGTACGAAATATAAACAGTCTCATTCTATACTTTTCTTACGTTTATATCGTCAAATTGCTTCATAAAATCATCCTGTAACAATTTCCGTCAAGTTTATGTCCCACTTTCTGGCGCAATACCAAAACCATGAAGTACGGCAAACTACCCAAGGACAAAAAATATAAGGCCGGTAATTGCATGAATATGAGAAGCCTATCCCAAGAGTTTCTAAGTTTTTATCTCTAGTTAATGGAACGTGCAGATGGCTAAAATATGAGATGAAAAGTGACATTTCGATATGTATATTAAATAAGGAAAAAATTTATACAGAGCCTAGGCTCTATCAGTCAAATTAGAGCTTTCCATTTCTTGACACTATTTGAAGGTGGTCTCTACTTTGATTGTTTGGGACCTCGACTCTATACAAACTGCACCCATTAAATAAAGTTAATAAATTATATTGAATTTTTTTTTTTGTTATTTTTATATGGACAAGGTTTCTATGTGGACAACACGCATAGTGTAGAAATGTGGGATTGGAAATAAATATATTTTTTAAATATAATTTGATCCTAAATTTTAGAGAATATAACATGGAGATCACGAATATGAAAAAACAGTAAAAGTTGAAAACTAGAAATAATAGTTATATTAAGAAAATATTTGGACCGTTAGTGACAATTGTTTTTAAATGGGCCACCTATTTGCATCCATCTTTAAGATGGATGTTTCATACGTCTTGACCGCTTATTGTAGAAATACAGTCTAGCCCACATGAAACAATTTTCTTTTTTATATTCTTTTTACATCGTATTTATATTTATTTTTGGAAAAATTATAAATACTCCCCATAATGAATTTTATAGACATCCTCCCCCGATACTTTTAATATCATACGCACAAACCAAACTCGATTTTTTCTTGCTTTTACCCACAGTCGAAAAGTAAACAAATGTAGAACTAAAATGGCCTTCTCCTCTCTCACTCTCTCACTCTCTCTACTCTCCCTCTATCTCTTTCTTTCTCTACTTGCCCTCTCTTTCTATCCGCCCTCTCTATCTCTCTTTCTCTATCTACTTGCTTTTTTTTCTCTCTCTTTACTTGATGTCTCTCTTCTCTACATCTTTCTCTCTCTACCTACTGTTTCTCTCTCCTCTATATCTTCTTCTCTCTCCCCACCCTCTCTTTCTCCACCCTCTCTCTTTTTCTCTCCCTATCCGCCCTCTCTCTTTCTCTCTATACCCTCCCTCTCTTTCCTCTGGATCGTTCTGTATCTCTATCTACCCTCTCTCTCCTCAAGATCTTTCTCTAGCTCTCTCTACCTTCCCTCTCTCTCCTCAGGATCTTTGTCTCTCTACTTGCCCGCTGTCTTCCTCTCTTTCTCTCTACTTGCCATCTCTTTCTCCTTTGGATCTTTTTCTCTCTATCCATCATCCCTTTTTTTCGTTCTCACTCTCTTTATCTGCCCTCTCTCTCTTTTAGATTTTTCTCTTTACCAACCCTCTCTCATCTAGAGCTTTCTCTCTCTACTTGTCCTCTCTCTCCTTTGCATCTTTCTCTCTCTACCCACCCGCTTTTTTTTTCTCTCTCCAAATGTCTCTCAACCCATTTTTTGCCTCTCACTCTTCCTCCCAAAATAGGATAGAGAAAGATCCAGAAGAGAAAGAGGGTGGGTAGAGAGATGAAGATTCAAAGGAAAGAGAAGACGAGTAGAGAGATAAAAAGAGAGGACATGCAGAGAGACAAAGAGAGTAGGTAGAGAGAGAGTGAGAGAGAGGGCAGGTAGAGAGAGGGGTAGAGAAAGGGTCAATAGATAAATAGCAGGTAGAGAGAGATAGAAAGAGAAGGTGGGTAGAGAGAAAAAGAGAGAGGATGGGTAGAGAGAGTGAGAGAGGAGAAGAAAATTTTAGTTCTAAATCTTTCGACGTTTTGACTGGGGTAAAAACAAGAAAAAACAGTGTTTGGGTTGTGGGTATGATATTACAAATTTTATTTGGTGAGGTGTTCCTTCTAATTGGAAACAGTTTATATAAGGTTGCAACCTTAAAATGTAGAAATACATATGCACATAAAAATCCATCAAAAAAGGTTGTTTTAACATTGAAAACACCCTAATTGATAATCTCGACATTGAGATGTATGAATATGAAAAAAAAAAAAGAAGAAGATTTTGAACCCCAAAAATAGGGAATCTTGCAACACATTTTCTGGACTATCCATTTTCAAGATTTTTATATGTTTATATATTTACTTGATTTTAATATTTTTTGGAGTTTAAAATTTTATAATTAGATATAGAAATAGATTTTAAGATAATCTTAGTATTTTTGACACTAAAAGTATATATTATAATAAAATTTGGATGTGCGCCTTAATTGGATTGTTTAAGGTCGCAACCTAATAGAAACCGCACCCTTTATAATTTTCCCTTTATTTTTTATGTCGCTCTACTTTCATGGGTCTAATTTCTCTAACTTAGATTTTTGTTATGCTCTGCTCCTTATGGTTCACGTTTGTCTAAAAATTGGATCCTGAGAACAACTGAAACTTTTAAGAAAAGAGTGAATTTTTTTGCGGGTAAATTGTGTCATTGATATTAAATTAGCGGAGGAGGAGAGGTCGCAAGAGCAACAAGTGAATATATCAGAAGTAGATAAAAATAGAACGAGAGATCATAAGAGAGAGAAAGACTAAATCTAAAACCATGACAAGTAGCTACGGGTTTTGCTATGACTTTTTACTATCGTCCAACTGTTATAGAGGCTTTTGCCTTTGTTCAATATATAATGATTGAAGTAAACTTTGGTTGGTTAATCCGATCAGTTCATCGATGGTCGACAAGTATGATGGTTCTAACGATGATCCTGTATGTATTTCGTGTTTATCTCACAGGCGGATTTAAGAAACCTCGCGAATTAACTTGGGTTACGGGTGTGGTTCAATTGAGATAATGAAAAATCGTTTTATTTTTTTATTCGGAACCTTAGGCGGTTCTCGAAAAAAGATAACGAAAAAAATTATCCTTAGAGTCGATACCAATAGGAATGTATAAACCAGTGCTTCCATAGATTCGATCGTGGTTTACAATGAAATTATATATATAGCTTCCATACCTGTTCATTTGGGATCATTTCCCAGAGAAAGAGTAAATCGAAAACCATGAAAGAAAATAAACAATCACCCTTATTTGTTATCCTCAGTAAAAGGGATATATTATGGAATTCAGCTTAGTGGATACAACGCAGTGAAAAGAGTTGAGCACCAAGCTCTACAAAAGTTGGGCCACATGCTCCTTTTAACATAGAAGCTACAAACTCGTTTTAGTGTTGGCATATGTAAGATGAAGTGCCGGGTGTTTTATTTCATTAATGGTGAGCTAAAAGCCACCTTCTCCACCACCATCACCACCTCCAAATCCTCCTCCAGAGCCACCAGCCCCTCCAATTCCACCTCCACCGCCCTTTTCAAAACCTCCACCTACTCCGCCACCCTTTCCAAATCCTCCACCGACTCCACCGCCAGCTCCACCACCTGCACCAATTCCACCACCAACTCCGCCACCCTTTCGAAACCCTCCACCAACTCCACCACCAGCACCACCTCCATCTCCACCACCTGCACCAATTCCACCACCAACTCCGCCACCTTTACCTCCACCAAATCCAGCCCCACCACCAGAACCACCACCTAAACCACCACCAGCTCCACCTCCTCCACCAGCGCCACCACCTAAACCACCGCCAGCTCCACCTCCTCCACCAGCGCCACCACCAACTCCGCCACCTTTACCTCCACCTAATCCAGCACCACCTCCTGAGCCACCTCCTAAGTCTCCACCTCCTCCACTACCACCTAACCCTCCACCACCTCCAGCTCCACCACCTACACCAACTCCTCCACCTTTACCTCCACCAAATCCAGCACCACCTCCTGAGCCACCACCTAAGCCTCCACCTTCTCCACTACCACCTAACCCTCCACCACCTCCAGCTCCACCACCTACACCAACTCCTCCACCTTTACCTCCACCAAATCCAGCACCACCACCAGAGCCGCCACCTAAACCTTCACCCCCTCCCGCTCCTCCACCTCCACCTCCACCTCCACCAACTCCTCCACCCTTACCTCCACCGAATCCTCCGCCAGCTCCACCACCCTCGCCCCCACCAAATCCAGCACCACCACCTAAGCCTCCACCAAGATCATCATCCCCATCATCGAAGGTGTCAACCTTAGGCTTGCGACCCTCAGCAAACACTACAATGCATAAGAGAACCACTCCCAGTGAGAGGGCCACGAAAGCCACATTGCCTTTCGTCATCAACCTCGCTATCTTCTTAGTGAACACTTCTGAACTTTACACTTATGCTCTACACAATGTGCATGAGAGCTATTTATATAGGAGATCGGTGTGGGGAGAGAGAGAGGTGGGATTAATGCATGTAGTTGAGGAGGAGCCCGTAATTTCAAAATTTTCACATTGAGGGTAGACATTGTCTCACCTTAAGAGGATCACAGCAACGATGCTCATTCTTTGGCCGATGCATTCATTTCACTTCTCCAACTCTCAACTGCTCTTCTGTCCCCTCATCTCTCTCTCCTACATATTGACCCCATTTTTGTCCCTCTATAGGAGTGACCTAGACACTTTTGGATATTAACCTCGTTTGGAAATGTATTAAATCACATTAGACCAAAATTATTCTCTTTTTTGAAATAGTTGGTTGTAACATGTTGACAAGTTGTATATATCGGTTACCTAAAAATTTGGGATGGCTCTCTATCATTTATATCACCTTCTATTTTTACTCTTTTCTCTACTTTGAAGTTGTAATATATATAATGAAAAAAAAAACAAAAAATTATGAGATAATAACAAACAATCTCCTTTTTGGTAAATATAAGCAAAAACGCCCAATTACCTTATTCTTTTTTTCTTCTTATTTTTCTCAACATGGCATTAAAGCACAATTTTTTTCGGGCGAGATAACAGTAAATTCTCAACATGGCATTAGAGCACAAATTTTTTCAGGCGAGATAAGAGTAGAAATACACCAGTAGACAAATCTCTCTCTCGCTCTCTCTTTTTCGGCAGTGGGGCTGTGTCCCTCTTTTTCTCTTGGTTTTCTCTCTCTTAAATATTGGCTAATGGCTTGCAGAACTCAAACCCTAAACCCCAAACACCACTCTCTCTTTCTCTCTCTAACACCAGGTGACATCGTTTCTCCTTTCTTTCTCTCTCTAATGCCAGATCTCCCACCTGGCAGTTGCTCAATTCCAAAGGGAATCAGTCCTTCGGTATCTTGTAGGTCAGATGTCGCAATGGACCAAGGGCTTTCTACGCCAGAGAATGACCGCACAATGTTCTTTGAGAAAGGGGAGCGAACTGATGAGCCCTGTGTTCGCCTTTCAATTCTTCTGCAAGCCCTCTTAATTCTCTTCTCGCAGGGGAGAAAATTCAATTTGGTGCAGTGACATCTCCAGCAGTTCATACCATTGTTCCTCTCTCACACCAACCCTGATAACCCTAATTTGCCCAGTACACCCGTTAAAACCCTTGTTTTCTTTAAGCAATGTCACCCACTGGCCATTGCTAAGGCTTCTTTCTATCGGAAATTTTTTCTGACGTTGGCTCTGCAGGCTCTATTTATCACCCCCCGTTTCCGGCAAAATTTGAAATCGCTGGAATATTTCTTGGCAAGCCCATCAACTTCTTTTTTTACCATGAAACTCTTGAAGCTTGTTGGATGGGTAGTTCTCAGATCTTGAGATTTCATATTTTTGCATTGCTTGCTGCATACTTCAGATCTGTCGTAGTGGCCTTTATGCGGCGGCTTGCCCTGGTTCACGGTACTTTTCTTTGCCGTGAGAGTGACAACTGCATTACCATCTTTTGGGTTTTTGAGCGTTGCGGGTCATTATTCAGCTACAACTTTTTTTTTTTCTTATCATATTTGTGTGTCTTTGCCAAGGTCCGTAATTTTTTTTGGGCTACATTTATTTTCTTCATGGTTGAAAATTCAAATTTAAATGAATCTAACCCAAATATAAAAATTACTTTAGAACTTTTAATGGGTGGGAGCAATTATCTTTTTTGGTCAAATTATACAGAAATGTTTATTAGTGGAAAAGAAAAGTTTCCTTACCTATCTGGGTAAAAAATGAAGGTTCCAAAAAAAAATGACTCTAGTTATGAGGAATGACAAACAAACAATGACCTCGTAAGGTATTGTTTGTTGAATTCTATTGAAAGAAAATTAACCAAAAGGCTTTAGTTTCTTTCTATTGCTAATGCCATTTGGAATAAAGTAAGAGAATTATATAGAGCTTAAATAATGCTTCCAAGCTATATCAAATTGGACAAGATATTGTGCATTTAAAAAAGGGAGAACAATTTGTTGGAGAATTAATTGGGATTGTGAGTGGCTTGTATAATGAACTTGATTATTATCTGCCTGCTATAACTGATATGAACACTCTTGAAACTCGTAAAAACCAAGAAATGACCTTTGCCTTGCTTTCAGCTTAGGGTCTTGAGTATGAAATTGTCAGGAATTAGGTACTCTTAACACCTACCATGCCAGATTTTAGAATTGTTTGTTCCATTCTTTCTTGAGAAGAGACATGACGTGCTACAATGTCAGATGATGCTAAAAATAAAAATGATGTATCTGATCACTCTGCCTTGAAATCTGAAAATATTGAAGGGTCTAGAAAACCCTTACCATCTAAGAATACTTCTTCCCGTAGCAAAGGGTAGAATAGATATTGACCTTACTGTACTGAATTCAAAAAGGAAAGAGACTCAACAGAAAATTATTGGAAATTGCATCTAGAAAAGAAAAGACAATTCTAGGAAAAGAGGAAGATGGCCACTTAGCTGCGAACAATACTCAATAAACCCTTGAGAAATTGGCTCAACTCTTTCAAAATTTTGGTAAGGCTTCCGTTGCATCTAATTTCCAAGGTTCCGACAGTGAGCTAGATAACTCTTCTTTACTTTCTCATTATTTATCTTCTTGGATTATTGATTCTGGTGCCACTGACCATATGACAGGATCTAAACAAGTTTTAACTCAATATCATACCTCTCAAAAAAATACTCATGTTACTATTTGCTAATGGGTCCATGGTATCTATTATATGAAGTGGAGAAATAACATTTTTTCACAATCATCCTAGTACTGATTTTCTGTACTTACCTGATTTCTTGTCAAGCCTCCTTTCTGTTAGCAAAATTACACAAAATCTTAATTGCAATGTTAGTTTTTCTCCTATCAATGTCTTGTTTTAGGATTGGACTATGAGGAGGATGATTGGTGAAGGTCGGTTGGAACGATGTCTTTACATATTGGATGTCCATTCAAACACATTGGTTTTTAATAATAAGAAGGTAATAGAGAGCCAGTTGTGGCATTGGTGTTTTGGTCATCCTTCAGATAGAGTACTAAGAGTTCTCTTTCTTCATTTGCATTTGGACTGTAAAAGTTGTGGTGTTTGTCAGTTTGCTAAACATATTTGTTTGCCTTCTAAGATTTCAAGTAGGATTTCTTCAGCTTCTTTTAATCTAATTCATTCTGATGTTTGGGAACCTGCACCTGTCCCCTCATATTGAGGACACCGTTATTTTTTAACGTTTATTGATGATCTCTCAAAAACTACCTGGGTCTATCTTTTGCAAACTAAGGATCATGTTTTTTCAACTTTTCAAGAATTCTATAAGATGATTGAAACTCAATATCGGACTCAAATCAAAATTTTACAATCTGATAACGTGACAGATGTTAATCATGTTTTCTCTAAGTTTTTTTAAAGAAAATGAGATCCTTCATCAAACCTCATGTGTGGGTACCCGACAACAAAATGGGATAGTTAAACGAAAAAACAGACATCTCGTAGAGGTTGCCAGATCCCTAATGTTTCAGTCTAATGTCCCAAAGCGTTTTTGGAGTGATGTCGTGTTAACAACGTGCTACCTTATTAATAGATGGCCTAATAATTTTTTACAAGAAAAAATGCCTATTGAAGTGCTAACAAAGAAGAAGAGCTCGTCATCTCACTTGAAAGTGTTTGGGCGTGTTTGTTATGTGTACAATCCTGGATCTGACAAGCTTAGCCCTACGGCACAAAATGTATGTTCTCCCACAAAAAAGGCTTATAAATGTTATGATACTACAGAGGAGTATGTAATTATTGCTCGTGATGTTAGTTTTCAAGAAAATGAACCTTATTTTCTTGACACCCAAAATGATGAGGAAAATAAGCTTCAAGGGGAGAATTATATTATGCCTCTTGTCACTAATGAAGGTTATGTTAAAACCGGTACTAATCATGAAGGAACCAATGAGCCCATTATTGACTCTAATCGCCCTCGTCGCACCATTTGACCTCCAAGTAAGTTTCAAGATTTTTAAACTTACCAAGTTTCTTCAAAATATCCCATTCAAAAGGTTTTATATTATTTTAGAATATCTAAAGAACATCATTGTTGTCTTAGCTCTATTTCTGCTAATCAAGAACCTACTAGCTTTCAAGATGCCTTTTCTCACCCTGTGTGGAAAAAGGCAATTAAAGAAGAGCTCATTGCTCTTGATAAAAATCACACATGGGAACTTGTCAAGTTACCACAAGGAAAAAATGTTGTTGGGAATAAATGGATATATAAAATACAGTACAATAGTAATGATACAATTGAGAGATACAAGGCAAGGCTGGTTGCTATGGGATTTACTCAAACGTATGGAGAGGATTACAAAGAAACATTTGCTCCTGTTGTTAAAATGAACACTATTATAATTTTGCTCTCCATTGCAACCAACCTTGATTCGCCATTGTACTAACTTGATGTTAAAAATGTGTTTTTTCAAAGAATCTTGAAGAATAAGTTTACATGAAAATTCCCTGAGGTCATCCAAAAGAAAACTCAAATATGATTTGCAAGTTAAGAAAAACTATCTATGGCCTGAAGCAATCGCGAAGAGCCTGGTATGCCAAATTGAGCTATGCACTTATTTCTTAAGGTTTCTCTAGGAGCTCTGCTGACTCCTCTATGTTTGTATAATCCAGAAAACAATGTAAAATTGTTATTCATGTTTATGTGGATGACATCATAATCACTGGAAGTGATGTTCAAGGAATTTCTCTATTTAAGAAAAATCTTCATCATGTTTTTTATCTAAAGGATTTAGGGAAATTAAAGTATTTTTTAGGTATTGAAGTTGCATACTAAAAAAATGGCACTTTCCTCTCTCAAAGAAAATATACTTTGGATTTGCTAAAGAAAACTAGTAAATTAGGTACTTGTCCTATTGAACCATCAGTTGAAAAAAATAAAAAATCAACTCTTGATGATGGAGAACCAATCAAAGATATTTCAAGATATCAACAACTTGTGGGAAATTAATTTATCTAACTATCACTAGACCAGACATCACTCATGTTGTGTGTCTAGTTAGTCAGTTCATGCATGCACCTCGCACCACAC